CATATATATATCCAGAGTATATTTTAACGTGTTCCAAGGAAACAATAAGCTAGTGTGTTCTGCACTTGTGAGACACATGACATGCAAAGCATTGCCACAGGGTCAGAAGAAAGATGAATGCTACAATTGCATCCTTCCTGTAATTCAGTGGGGGAAGATGCTTTCCAGCTGTGGTGCCTGACAAAAATTTTGTAGAGCTGGGGCAGTGATGGCAGTAGTACTTGAGCAGAGCAATTGAGGTCCTGCATATTAAGTAAGGTCTTCTGGCCTCTCTGAGGATCAGTAAGCTGGTGCTGGTAAAGATACTGAAGTTCAGGAATCAGTAACGGCTAAGGGATCTGTAATTTGTCCAAAAACAAGCTGTTGGTTTGAAAAATCAGGGCTTAAATGCAAATGTATGAAATTAGAAGAGCTTATGGATTTTACTGGAAGAGTTATTTGTTTTAGGGGGGATTGGATTTTTGTTTTACTGATGTGTGTCTGTGAAAGAAATAATGTTCTAGCAACATCTTGTAGTGTAACTGGGAACTTGCAGTCCATCACAGAGGCCTATTCCACGCTCATAAGTAATATATATTTTGCAGGTAGTACTACCAGTTGTTAATAAATTTTAATTGATTGTTGACTTCCTCTGCTCCTGGCAGCCAGAGAAAGAGCTTAGCATGTAAGATATTTAACCTGCTCCCTGATCATTTACAACTATATCCAAAAGAGGACCTGGGAAGCTACAGGCCCATTAGTCTTATTCCAGTCCCTGGAAAGAGTTTTCCTAGAGACCTGCAAGCCAAAGGAAGCAGGTGATTGGGACAAGCCAATGCAGGTATACTGAGGGCAAATTATGCCAGTGTGCTGCTGTATAATGAAGGCAAACAGGATCCTGGGCTGCATCCATGGGGACATAGATCATCCCATTCAGAGCTTGTCAAGCCATACCCAGATGTGTCTAGCTCTGGTCCCCAGAATTCAACAGAGATGCAGGTAGAGTGGAGATCACCTAAAGGAATGATGAGAACCCGCCCTGTGAGGGAAGGCAGAAGGGGTTTGGACTTTTCTCCACGGAGAAGAGAAGGCTTACATTTTTTCAGTACTCAGAGAGGAGGGAGGCTTTCCCAGCACATGGATGGTGCCACATGGAGAGGACAGGGGCAACTGGTACAAGGTGCATTGACAGAGGTTTCATTTTAATATAAGAAATACTTTACTGAGGCATGTAGTGGGGTCCCTCCCCTTACTAGAAGTTTTCAAGATGTAATTGGACAGGATGCTGTATAATTTCATCTAGGCTTCTTCCCACACACACACACACAAAAAAAACAAAAAAAACAACGGACCAGGTGATCTTTCAGGGATTTTTCCAACCTGGGCTAATCTATGATTTTGTGGTACTTTACTGAAAATTCAGCTGTGCTTAAGAGTTGAGATGAAAGGTAATGGTCTGCACTCTGTCACCTTCATCTCAGTCTTGACACCTTGTAGGACTGGGCTCTTAGTTTGGTATGGATCTCAGTAAAGCCCGATAGGAACAGATGCTTTCTGTGAGGAGCATCTTCTCAGTACTGTGCACATAAACCAGTGCACATCTGCTCAGTCTCTGCTGCCCTGACCTTGGTGCACTGGACCTGAGGTGACTGCTAGTCTGCACAGTTCTGCTAGGGTCCCAGCACAGGCTCTAAACAGACCTGAACATGATTTTCATAAATGAGATAAATTTAATTATGAAACTAGACTTAAAGCAGTCAAGTGACAAGTTTAAACTACCATACATTCAAATCCCAGATTATCAGAAAGGTAAATTCACTGCATTAGCCTATTTATCACAGTGATTACTGGTACTTAGAAGTGAATTGAATGCAAGGTATCTAATAACAAGAAAGAGCCTTACAATATGTCACTGTGTGTTCCAGTCTGTAAATTAGAAGTAGTGCTTCAAAGCTGTTATTTTATTGTTCCTGCTGATCACTAAGTACAGCATTTTAAAATGTGACTATATTTTCAGCAGTAATTCACTTACTTTGAATAAGCTTTATGTTCATGAGGCTGTAGGTTTGCATTCATTATTGTTTCAGGATAAATAAAGCCCTTATTCTCCAGGCAGGATATCTGGTATTTTTTCTGAGGCCATTTAGTTTTTGCACTTTCAAATTATTTTTTATTTTTTTTTCATGGAACTACTCACTCTTTCAGTAAAGGTGGTGCTTGTGGTTAAACCACATCTGTTTCCTGTTGTAGCCTGTACTCTCAGTGTGATTTGCAGTATTCAGAATGGCCTCAGAATGTGAAACTCACACCACATTGTGGTTAAAAGCAGCATAAACCTCTGGAGATATTGCCTCGTAGCAGCTGAAGGTGGGTTTCTTGTGTGTGGGATTCTGTGGGGGATGGCTTTGCTGTGAGGAGCTGATCCATGTGGAGCTGGGGAAGTGGAAAGAAACTAGAACAGAATATGCCCTGGGATTTGGTTGTTGTCTGAGTTTGAGTATGTAAAGTGATGATGCTGAAATCCCTTGAAACTGGTTGATAAGTGACTGTTCCTTTTTGCTTTATTCTTCTTGTACATATCACCCCTATATCCCTTTCCGCTTCCCTTCTGTCTTACACCAGACTGATTCTGTAGCCAATGGAAGTAATTCTATTGATACCATCTAACATGGAGCCAAAGTCATATATATATGATAGTAGTGGGAAGATGTTTATATTAGGCAACATAGTACAGATATGATCAGGTAAAATTGCAGTGGGAACAGATTGGCAGGTATATGTAAGTACTTTCAGAAAGGTGCATGTTTTGTCTAGGAGATGTAAAGCTGCCTTTCAAAATAGCCTTTATGTGTCAAGCCAAAGTTAATGAAAAACAGATACTTAATGCTTAAGTCCTCCCTTCTTTTTTCCTGACTCTTTTCAATATAGGGGGAAGCTTATTTGAACAGCTTTTAAAGTTTGCCAAATAATGTTCATCTCACACCACACATTTTCCAACTAATTTTCTTTGCCAGTAGTTAAGCACTCCCTTAAATAGAGAATTTTCTTTCTTTTATAAATACAAAGCAAAAAATGTAATTTCTAAAAATGCTACTTTGTGTATATTTTATATTTATATATTTATATTAATTTATATTTATTTATATGTTTTATTTTATATATTATTATTTGATGTTTTATTGCTTATTATTGTGTTGTTTTTGTTGATCCACTTTTCAACATCCTTCCATTCTGTGTACCTTCTTGGTCTGCTCAGAGCACTAATTGCCATGTATTAATTAGTTCCAGACAAATGGTTTATCTCTGTAGTTTAAGGGGGAGGGGGAAACAAGTCAGCACAGACAAGTCATCTATTTTTGAGATACGTGTACATTAGTGAATTTGTAGAAGCATCCTGTATACTCTGCTGGACTGAAGGGTTTTGGTAAGCTAATTCCATAAAGTAATTATGACTTTTCTTCAAAAGTAAATACAGAGCTTATTTGTACAATCCAGCAAATACGGAGAGCCCCTTTGATTTTTCTGTAGGTATAGTTTTAAGGAGAAACTGAATTATTGTGAAGGTTATAGCATTTCTTCCACTTTTAAAAGAGAATTTATAAATATTTTATTAATGTGTACATTATACTCTGTCCTGGGAAAGGTGTGTGTTTCAGTTCCATTTCTCTATTCCTTTCCTCTCTTCTCATATGTGCCTGGGTAGGAGTTGCTCCAAACTAGCCTTTACATTTCTCGTGATCTGGGAAGATATTCTGGCCACCAGCTATCATCAGTCTAGTCTGAGGTACTAAACCAGTTGATCCTGAAGGTTCTCATTGCATAAGTATTTGGGTTTGAGCCATGGGAAGGATGGGAAGCCATATAGATTTGTTCATGGCTCTTTTAATTCTGTGAGAGAGATTTGAACACAGTGGTTTAATAAATCACTCCTTTTCCAGTCATTTACTTTAGAACATGCTTGGGTGGTGGGAAGGATGCTTTAATGTTTCAGGGATTAGTATGCTACCTTGGATTTTGTGAATCACATTGTTTCAGAAAGTTTTTATATTAAGGTTGGTTGGAGGTTTTTTTTCTGTTTTGGAAGGGTGGTATACATACTGTAGACTTAAGCTGTGACCTTGAAACAAGTAGAAATATTTCAGAAGGATTTTTTTCTGAAAAATTCCAGCACTGAACCATTTTTAAGCTTCTCTTAAAACATGGGACTCTTCACTCCTGTCAGTATAGTATATTTTTATAATAATACTTGGCATTCATAAGGCACTTGATCACTTGAACATGTTTATTATATGTTTAATGAATCCTTTCAGTGCCTCACTGAGGAAGTTAGGTATTACTCCTTCTTAGCAGTAGAGAAAAATGACACAGTAAATTCAAGTGTCTTGATCAAAGGCATGTATGCAATTATTTACAGACTACTGCTGTTCCTTGTAGTAAAAAAATTACTGTACTTAATTTAGAAGAGTGTAAAACTGGTTCCTTATTCAGACTGGGGAATATATACTCTAGATCTTTTTCATTGTTTGCATCCCAGTATTAGTGTGGGGTCTCCTCTTAATGCTCTCTGTAATGTGGGCAAAGCTCTCTTGGGAGGGACTGTGAACTAGAAGATGCTGAGCCAGAACTCCTTGGCCATTATAAATTTGTCTTAATTTGTGTAAAAAACAGTGACTTCTCTTTAAAATCAAACCTAAACTCATGTCAGAAATGAGAGTTGTAACAGGAGTAACTATTATTACATAATAATAGTTCCTAAAGCAAAGGTACTGAGTGTTGTGTCATAATTTCACATTACAATCTGATTGCGACACTAACCTTCTAAATAAGGCTTTTAGAGTAAGTGGCTGTTAATAAACAGACTTCTGGTTTTTTATTAGGACACTGTGTAACATTGATAGCATTATAATGGATAGGAGATTATTTTTTAATTTGAAGTCTAAGCATGGAGCAGCTAGTTTGTTAATCTGCCAAAGAGTGACAGGTTTATTCTATATACCTAAAAAGTTTGTGTGTATTCATAGGTCATGAATGCTGATGGAACTGGTAGGAGAGTCCTGGTGGAGGACAAGCTGCCTCATATATTTGGATTCACTCTTTTGGGAGACTACATTTACTGGACAGACTGGCAAAGGCGCAGCATTGAACGCGTGCACAAGTGCACAGCAGAGAGAGAGATCATCATCGACCAGCTGCCTGATCTGATGGGCCTGAAAGCCACCAACGTCCACCAGATCATTGGTGAGTGGTCTGCTAATCAGGCAAGGGAGAATGAGATAGAACATGTCAGTAGGGCTGTACTGCAGAGTAGAAAGGGGTTAGAATATAGTCTTATAGCATGATAACTGCAGGCTGCAGCTTGATGGTATGGGTTAGGTCTTCTGTGAGGAGCTTCAGTTCTGCAGCTTGGAAGAATATCAAGCTGAACACATGCTCCTAGTATGCGAAAGCTAAGAATGAGCCAGATTTAGGCTGTTCAGTAGTTTTTACATTAATACTAGAAAATTATCTTCAAAAATACCTAGAAGTACTTCCTGGCCTGTAGTGCTTGTGGGTGTGAAAAACCAGCATCTAGCTTTAAATTGCCTATCCTAGGCTATCCAAGCACTAGTAACAGTGTAATTGTAGTATCACAGAACTCATCACTGTCCCTGAGTATCCTGCTATGTGGATAAGGCTTGCAGCTTCTTGCTGTCATGTCTGGATTGTACTGCAGGAAATGAGTCAAATGTAGTTGAGATGTATCTTTGTGTGGCTGATGCCCCAAGGTACGTGTGTTTTGAATGCAGCCCTCTTTCCAACTGTTTGGTCAACTGAACTCCTTACTGCCAAGCCTCTCTTAGTTAATTTCCAGCATGTGCAGGTACATTTCGCTTGCATCCTGGACAGAAGAGACCATTGAATGGATGTGAAAATAGCTCTGCAAGTTTTTTATCTTCAGGAACACAAGGGGGTATGTAGCTGGACCAGTATACTGTAAAAGGCAGCAGAACATACACTTACCATAAATTTGGTGCTTGTGCTGTGATTTGGGATCATCAGTAGCTGTTGAAGCCCAGATCCCTTTCCCTAATGCTGAGCTTGTTTCTTGGCACGAGGAAAACAATCCAGCCAAGGTGGGTAAGGTCTGTCTAAAAAATTACAGAGAATGAATGAAAAATAAATTGATCAGAGAATACAAGGAGAAAAACTTGTTTGCTTGGAGGACTCATAATGTGGCTGATGCATGTGAGGACTAGCTTCACCTTTCACCTGCAGTCAGTTTGCAATGCCTGCTTTTCCTCTTGCTGCCTGCTTAGGTACAAACCCCTGTGCAGAAGACAATGGCGGCTGCAGCCACCTGTGTCTGTACCGACCACAAGGCCTTCGCTGTGCCTGTCCCATCGGCCTAGAGCTCATCAGTGACATGAAGACCTGCATCGTCCCAGAAGCTTTCCTGCTCTTTTCCAGGAGAGCAGACATTAGACGCATCTCTCTAGAAACCAACAATAACAACGTTGCTATTCCACTCACTGGAGTCAAGGAAGCTTCTGCTCTGGATTTTGATGTGACAGACAATCGCATTTACTGGACTGACATTTCACTGAAGGTAGAGATTTAGTCCATCTAATCAGCAGCTATTAAGCTGCTACAAGCTTCTTGAGATATTTAAGAGTAGGTTGATTAACAGGGTTTACAAAATTCAAGGGATATGTAAAAGGGTTTAGTTTTTAATTATATTTTCTTCAGCTGACTTGAGACCTGTGCCAACAGTAATTTACAGACTTTTGCAACTGAAGAATCATAGTAGCTAAAAACACAGAGTTGAAATGAGTCTGCAAGAGGTGACTTGGCTGAACTCCCTAAGCATGGTTTTCTTTTGGGCTGTGAAAGTGACACAATTGAAGACTGATAAAAACTGTGTGCTGTGTGCTGTCACAAAGTGGCATAATTAGCAGGTTGTGTTCAAATTAGGAAGTAAACCAAAATCAGGGATTTGTTAACTTCCGGTTGGTGAGTATGAGGAGTGTGTGCGGATAGGAATACTGAGGACATAGAAAGGTAGCCCATGTTTGCCAAAAGAATTCTGTACTATTCTAGCATTAGTCTTTTACTTTCAGGCTTAGCAGGGAATGCCTAAATTCTATTATTAAAACGGAATTCTGGCTGTATCTGCTATCACAGGCTGATCCTGATGGCAGAGTTAAAAAAAGTATTTGAATAAAAGTGCTAGAAGAGTTCACGCTTAGTGAAATTAAATTTAGCCATCAGTACTGAAGCTACTGAACTCATCAGTCGTTTGGTTGTTTTCTATTTGCTGTTCTGCCCTGCACTTTTTCATTAGGCTGCTTTAAATAGTGTTCCATGCTATAATATAGATGCTTTTGTATCGTCCTGGGAGAGCCAAAATATTTCCCCCTCGAAGTTGGCACTGAGTTATTAAGGTCACTTTGTCACGTAGATGCTTAATTCAACCAGACCAGTTATCCCATTTATTTCCCCAGTGAAATGCTATTGTAATTGACACAGAATACATTCACAGAGTGCAGTAAATCATTACTTCTGAATAACAGCATTGTTTGCTTTGCAAATAAGTAGCATATTGTAAGATCCTCTTTCCTATGAGATGTCAAAAATCTGAAAGTGTTTAAAATTCAACAAAGAAAACAAGCAGCCCAGTGACAGACTGGTAAGATTTCTAATTTGCTTGTGTATCTTTGTATCCCTGCAGACCATCAGCAGAGCATTTATGAATGGCAGTGCCCTGGAACATGTTGTGGAGTTCGGCTTGGATTATCCCGAAGGCATGGCTGTGGACTGGCTGGGGAAGAATTTGTACTGGGCTGACACTGGCACAAACCGGATTGAGGTGTCCAAGCTGGACGGGCAGCACCGCCAGGTGCTTGTGTGGAAAGATCTCGACAGTCCCCGGGCACTGGCACTGGACCCTGCTGAAGGGTAACTTGCTGATTTAATTCTGTGTTTATGAACAGTGAAAAACAACACTGTAATGCTTCCTCTAGGGCATGGTAGTTAAGCATTGCCTGTAAACCCTGAGAGAACTGAGCTGGGGAATAGAACCTGGTAATTTAGAGAAATACACTCTTAATGTTTTGAATAATAATTAAAAATACTAAACCCCCCCCCAAAAAAACCAAACAAAAACAAAAACACAGAGCAGCTCGTTAGAAAGGGATTTATATTTAGTTTTTTAATTAACCACAGAATCAAAGTAGTTTTAGGTTTATGGAATTCATTAATTAGAAAATGACTGTAGCATTGAAAGGAATATATTTATCGTTTTAAAAATTAGGATTCTTTTTATCACAAGTTAGGGTCCAATAAAAGTATTAAATGATTTAATTTGAAGGTGGGAGAGTGAAGTTTATGTCTGAGCATAAGGAAAGTGTTTGTTTCTTCAGATAAGGAAACCTTTTAGTTTGTATGGACATGGGAAGAAGAAGGAGTGGAAGCAATTATATTCACCTATGCCCCAAATGAAGGATTTTCTGAGAAGAAACTTCTCAGTTGGATTAAGTGCAATAGCAAAAGTAGGGTAATAAACAGGGAAAGGAGGGAAGGAATGGGGCAAGTCAAGCTAACTGGTGAGCTTCTGAAATAGCTGTTTTACCATGAAATGCTCACTTGACAATAACTAATTGGTGCAAAAACTTTTTGAGGTTATACCATTATTGCATTACTTTTCAAATGAGGGAACTTCATTTAAAAGGGTTATGACATTATCACAGTTCCCAGTCACACTTTGAGAGCTACAGTAATGCAGAGAATTTGAAACACTTTCCTTCTGCTTTATTTCAACAAGGTGGTGGCAATGGTCACCTCCAGTGGGATCCTGCATTGGATTCAGCCTTGATGTACCAGTGGTTGCCTGGATGGGGATTCACCATCAGATCCTTAGATCTAGTTACTCATTTGTAACAAAAGGCTGCTAAGGATGATTCTAGTTTTACACTGCAAGTAGGTTTTTCCCAAGGATTATCATCATTCAGTGCTTTGTCTCTTCATCACAGATGAGAAAAAAAATTACCTGAGTCAGAACGCCTGTTTTTCCTTACAGAAATAGTATAGCTGTATACTTATGTATGTATGTATACTTATATAAGTATACATACAATATAGTTGTACTTTAAATGGAAGTTTTCAAGGCATTGCTGCCATGGGGGCAATTCTAACACTTGGCTCCATGCTGTGTCCAGCTTGCAAAATTTATACACAAAGTGCTTGCAAAATTTTTAAGAAAAATTTGCAATTGTTCCTGGTGTCTACTCCCCCTTGATCATCAGTTTCTGAAGCTACCTTTCCTATTGTGCAGTTGGTTGAAAGACTTCCCAGGGATTTGTTACTAGAGTTATTAAAATCCAAAGGTGTAAATATTGGATATCTGCCTCTCACTTTTTTTAAGAATGGTATCGGCTTAATATTTTGGAAAAAGTGACTAACTAGCCATCAAATATATAATATGAAAATATGCATCCTATTCTACTGTGCAGTGTCTAAAGAGTCATAGTAGAATGAAAATGTAAACATGTGCAAATCTGTCCTTCTTCCAAATGAGGCATAAGCTGGCATGTGAGTATGTAATAATTGTATTTTTGCTCCAGTGGAAATGCCATACGGTTTTGTGTGTCTTGGCTGAGATGTAAGACACTTGTTACATGGCTGGTTGACTTAGCTGTGTGGACATGAGCACCTATTAACAAAAGTACCCTGCAGATCTACTTTTTTGTGTTCCTTAATTTGAGAGACAACTGCCTAGAAACAGAAGGTAAGTGCTCTGGAAAAACAACCTGCTAAATAACCAGGTATAAATGAAGATGCCTGACTGCCAGCCTCTGTCTCTTAAATGACATGAATGGATTAGTTACTACCGAAGTGCTGTCACACAGAACTTGCTGGTGAAAATCTAGGTCCAGGTGGGAAAAAATAATGTTGGAAGCATTTTGAGGAAACTTGACTCACTTTCTTGCCTGTACTTCGGAAAAAACCCCCACTCATTTAGCACAATGGGTCCTAATAAATGCTTGAATTTACAGCTTTTTTTTTCTTGTATTCTTTCTGAGGATTTTTGTTTTGTTTTTCCTCTTGAATTCTCTTGGAATGAATGCAATTCTTTTTCTTTCTTCTGTTCTTTTAATCAGGTTCATGTACTGGACTGAGTGGGGTGGCAAGCCAAAGATTGACAGAGCTGCTATGGATGGCAGTGAGAGGACCACGTTGGTCCCAAATGTGGGACGTGCTAACGGCCTGACCATTGACTACGCCAAGAGGCGCCTGTACTGGACTGACCTGGACACCAACCTGATAGAGTCCTCCAACATGTTAGGTGAGCCCTAGAGCCCTGGGCAGCATCCTGAAGGCAATGCTGCTTTTTGCAGCTCCCTCGTGGAAAATTGTGGCTTAAATAATGCAAAAATACACATCATAAGACGAAAATAAAATTTAACAACCTCACACGCCTTTAATGTTTGTTTCTGTAATTCATATTTATGTAACACTGTGGTTAGCAAGGCCTCAATTTTCTTGTAGGTGATTGGGTTGCTCAGAAAGTTGAAATTACACAAGATATACATGTTTCTAGTTATATGTAGGACAAAATGTCAACTTGCAGTGTTTTTAAGGATCTTGTTTTGCTACTCTCAAGAGCATGAGAAAATACAGAACAAAGGTAAAGAAAGAAAGCCAACAAGACGATAACAACAGCTTATTCAATGTGTAATTTAATACAATTTGGTTTTATATCTTTGTTAGTATCCTCAGGCATTTCCCTCCCATGTATTCTGCATGTTAAGGACCTTTTCCTGGCTAGTGCATATCAGCAGGAGAGTTGTTTTGTGCTGGGGTCTGTGATGATTTTATAAACTGGTAATTGCAGCTAAATGGAAGTGGAATATTTTATTTTTTCGCTGTCCCACCCAGAGTACTGTGTGGAGGACCTAGGACCTCTGAGATTTGCACAGCACCTTGTTTCAACTTCTCAGCACCCACAGGAAGGAACTGCCTTGTTGTATGCTAAATTATTCAGAATAGCATTAACAGCAGCTGATATTTAAGCATTAATAATTACCTTGTATTTAACGCTAAAGGAGTTAGTCTGCTTTAAACAGTATACTTGCAGTAGTGGAACAAAGCTAGAAAAAGATCAAAATAGGAAAATGTAATATGGGAATTATGTGTGATAGAAAAGCTTTCCTTCAGCTTCTCATGTATTTTGGTGTGCTGTGGAGGCCTGCTCCGTATTTCCCTGTGAAACCTGAGACTGGACATGACATGAAATTACAGCTTCTTTTTCCCTGTGCCTGTGGCTGGTGACAGCAGAGTGTGGGGCTCTGCATCTTTGACTTCTGTGTGCAAAGAGGGAATTACTTCCTGCTTCATAATCTCCTGTTCATTTTGTGTGATTACACAGCAGGAGGTGCCATGATAATGAAGTGGTTGATAAAACACAGTTGAAATAATTTCCCCTGCCGTGTCCTGCTCCTTAAGACCTCTTAACATTTCCATAGTATACACAATTAGCTGTTTCCTGTCGTGACTTTCTGGCTGTTCCTTCCTGTTGTGACATTCCAGAGACAGGTTAGTTTCGCTGTGTACGTTTAATTTTTCTCATAATGCAATGTAGTATTTAATTAAGCTCAAGACAATTTTCTTTTTATAAGCAGTGGAAAAAGTGTGGTGCAAGAGATGCTCAACTGGAAATACAGTGCCAGGATCTTGCATTAAATTGAGAGTCATCCTGTCGGTTTTGGGAAGGAGGGAAAGGACAGAATCTTTGAGAACCCTGATAATTTTCTAAATGGAAACTCTTTCTTCAGTAAACTACCTTTTTTTCTGTGAATTGCAAGCACGATTAGCACATTTCTGTAATAGGCTCTGAGATTCCTTTTGACTACTGTACATTACTTTGTAATTTACTTAGTAATGATGAAATAGTAACTTTAAAGTTAATTGCATGGCAACTTTTCTGGACAGGGGACATGTTCAACAGTATACAGCTTGTGCCCATATAACTCTGCTTTTTCTGTCCCTTCTTTTTGGACACAGGTCTTGACCGTGAGATCATAGCTGATGATTTGCCTCACCCCTTTGGCCTGACCCAGTACCAGGATTACATTTACTGGACAGACTGGAGCCGGCGCAGCATCGAACGAGCCAACAAGACCAGTGGCCAGAACCGAACCATCATCCAGGGGCACTTGGATTACGTTATGGACATCCTGGTCTTCCACTCCTCCAGGCAGGCAGGCTGGAACGAGTGTGCCTCCAGCAATGGTCATTGCTCTCACCTGTGCCTGGCAGTCCCTGTGGGAGGGTTTGTCTGTGGCTGCCCAGCTCACTATTCCCTGAACTCTGACAACAGGACCTGCAGTGGTAAGCCTTAAGGAATGAAAAGGAAATACAGGAGTGTATGTGTTTAGTCAGCATTGTATTTGGAGGAAAGTAGAGTTTTACACTTTTCCAGTAGTAATATATTACTGAGTTTTAAGACAACATAGGATGTTGAAAGCAAAAAAACAGAAAAGAAAATAGTCTTGCAACATACCAGTATCTTAATTAAAGAATGGCTGTTAGGGAACTTTTCCAGTGGCTCGGCTACATCTGTGTAAATGTGAAAGCTAAAAATGTTTTGGTTCTGTGTCTCCGTCAGACCCTCTTCAAGTGCTTATTTGCTTGTTTATTTATCTGCTTATGTATTTCTAGTCTTGCCTGGCATAAAGGATATGTGATACTTTAGTCTGGATTCTAGATTTCGCATAGCTTTTATGGAGCCAGGATTTCATTCTGTAGTATCTGTGTTTGCTGGCTGATGAGATGCTGAGGTGGGCCACTCAGACCTCTACAAGTATTTTTCCTCAGTGAGGATGGGTTGGGCTCCATGGCTTCCCCAGCAGTCTGGTTCCTGATCTCAGTGCAGCCAAGCCCCATTTTTCTTTATTGTTGTGAAGAATACAAGCCACAAGGCCCCTCTGGCTGTGTGTAATTAGTTTCTAACCAAATAATTTATCCATCTCTCAATACCTGGCTGCCAGTGAAGCTCTCAGAATTTTGGCAGCAACTCTGGATGGCTGATTTCCACTGGTGTCATTCACATTAGTCAGTGGGTGAAGAGATTCATGGTACAGTCAGATTACATCTCATCCTCATTATGTATGAGTAGAGACATCCAGCTGTTGTCTTAAAGCTGAAAGCTGGGCAGATTGTTCCACAAATGCTACTTCATGGCATTTTTTGTAAACCATGCTTCTCAAAAAACTGTGCTTTTCTACTCCTCATGTATTCTGTACTTCTCTCCTTTTTAATTACAATGGCTCCTTGCATGACAGCTGGATTCTTGCACCCTGATACTCTCACATGTTTGTGCAAGTCAGAGGCATGACTGGCACCTCTCTGGTAGTGACTGTGATCTTCTAGGTGGAGGAATTTGACTTCCAGTGGAGAAAAAGCAGCAAAATGATCAAAGGTCATGTTTTTCTTCTGCAAATGCTCCCAGAAACAGAGCAAGGAGTGAAATATAGGAAATACATTGCAAGCAAATAGAACTATTTCTCCATGGTACAGTTCAGGCCTCCTTGTGTGGTATTAGTAGTCTTCCTCTGCCATATTCAAACCTGGGAACTTTTCAGCTTCTCATTTTTAGGTAATTGGAGATTTAGGCCTCTCTGCATATAATTTAGTTCCCTTTTTTGGGACACTATAATTGGAGCATGAACTGTTTTAACTTTCTTTTGCCTGTATTATCAGTAACTCCTGAACATTATTAATCCAGACCCTGTTTAGAAGTCCTCCTTTCTGGAATACCCTGCTCATGCATGCATAGGTTCTTTTAATTACACTCTGGTGAGATCTCTTCAGACCTACCACGTGTCATGAAGTTGGAAGGCAGGGTTACACAGGAGACATACTCAGTGCACTCCATTTGCCTGCTGCCAAAAATACAGTTAAAATATGTGACTATTGGGAGGGAGAATGATGAAAACTGGAAAGGGATTTCTGAAATTGGTACTGTTTCAGAGATGTGGAGTCTCAAGGGGAGAAATTCTGCTGTTGCTTTTTATCATGAGCCGTCAATTCAAAATTGTAAATCTTGGAAAGTGAGAGGGTGTCTTTGGGGAAAAGTAGAAATAATTTTAGGTGCTTACATGTTTACCTGCAATTGTTTTACCTTAAGTTTTTTCCCTTTCCATTTCTATCATAACTTCTAGGTAAGAATTCTGATGTTTCTGAATGCATTATTTTGCTATACACATTCATATAAACTCGCCTTCGCTTTATTTTTTTTTTGTGCTTTCTTCTACAGTTTAGAGCTAAGTAGAAGGCAGCTTAAATTATTGGAGAAGTGCTTGGAGGGAAAATACAGCTTTTCCAGAAAGCAAAAATACCTTGCAATTAGGCCTGATTGTTACAGGATGTTAGGACAGAGTGTTGGTTTCCACGGAAACTCCTCCCTGCCTTTTTTCTTTTTTCCAGCACTCAGAATAGCTGTTCAAAGCATATGCTAAAATAACAAAGCTAGGTGATGATGTTCTCTAGGAGATGTTTGCTTCCTCCCTTTTCCCAGGTGCTGCATTACCTGTTTTACAGGCTGGTAAATGAATGCAGTGTCCCACTGCTATGTCCCATCTTGCTCCAGACTTGAGCTGTAGAGAATTGATTGCACAAACTTCAGGGAGGCTTCAAGCTGCATTTCTGGCAGTTGGCTCTTGTGCCATCTTGCACAGCAGTGGCTTCAGGCAGAGCATTATTGAAAAGAACCCTCTGAAAAAGGAAAATGCTTTCACTACCTTCTCTGATTTCTGACTCAGTTATGTAATACAGAGATAATTTTTTTTTTCAACGATGTATTAAATACTTTGTGCATTTACTGTAAGTTGCAGCTGGTAAACTACAGCTGTATGGGGTGTTGAGATCTTACTTTCTGCTGAAAATATATAATACCAACTTTTTGTTGGCATTTCCAATTACAAAGAACAAACATTTGTCCAGGAAATTTTTCTTGGGCAGAAAATCAGATTTCTTTTTCTCACTGCAGGTTGTCATTCACAGATAACCACACAGAAATAGTAAAGATACGTAGAATTAAGAAGAGCAAATACATTTTTCTCCAAAAATACAGCCTTGCACATAGTTAAGAAATTTTTCTGTGAATTAGTTGTCTCATTCCAGTACAGGCAAAAAGAGGATTTGTGGGAGCAGGACTGAACCACTGTCAATCTCTTTCCCCAAAAAGTCTAAATAAGGAACCCGTGCTGGCTTTTTCTCACCTTTCTCTGCAAGTAGAAGTGCACCTAGCAAAGAGTTCAACTTTAAAATAGATGAGCTGCACTTCCCTGAGACCCCTTTAGAAAATGGACAGTTCTTTGAGAGGCATAATTGACCATTCTCCTTTGAGATGCTTTTGACAGAAGTCTTTGCATTCACTAGTCCTGCCACTTAAAAAATCTTATCTTTGCCTGTCACATTAATGTACAGACATTATAGTAAAAAGAGGTCATTTGAAAGGCTTTTTGTACCCATCAGAGGTTGGGATTGTTATGTTTTGATATTTGGTTGGTTTTGACAAAGGAAGAGTGAAAAAAGGGAATGAAGTAGATGTCTGGTTATGGATAGTAGTTGTCATTCTTAAACAAAAATGCCCAATGTTACTGCCACGTGTAACCCTTCCAATCCCTTTTCTTTTTTTAACCCATCCAGCTCCTACCACCTTTCTGTTGTTCAGTCAGAAGAACGCAATTAATCGCATGGTGATAGATGAGCAGCAGAGCCCAGATATCATACTCCCCATCCACAGCCTCCGGAATGTCCGAGCCATTGATTACGACCCTCTGGATAAGCAACTGTACTGGATCGACTCTCGGCAGAACATCATCCGGAAGGCACAGGAAGATGGCAGCCAGGTATCCTGAGAGGGGTGGAATTGCTGAACGTTTGGCATGCCTGTGACAAACAATGACTGGTTGTACGGGGATGCACAGACTTCCCTGTAGGTCCCTTGGCAAAACAAGTGGAATCTGGAGTTTTCTGGAGTCCTAAGTCAGTAAATCTGGGGAGGAGCAGCAATAAATAGAACATGGAAAACCAAGACCAGCTTGAGGATACTATTATTACCAGCACATTATTTGCTCAATGCTGTCTTTTGTCTGGAACCAGTTTGAAGCCCTTATTTGAGATATCAAACATGGAAAGGAAGGTTCTTGGAAGATATGGGGGGTGTGACAAAGGTATGTGAGCAGAGTACAGGGATAGATCCTCTGAAAGGATGGGAACTATGTAAGCACACCACTGTGTCTAGAACCTCGCAGGTTGTGGAGCAGATAGGAAGAGAGTTGTAAATCACTGGGGCATGGAGTGACTAGACTGAACCTGTAAAAGATGTAGCAGGCTTGGGAAAATCTATTTGACTAGAGAATACAGAAAAAGTAGAGTAAGATAGAAGGCAAAAGGTAATACAGGCTGTGGTAGCTCAACCCTGGCTGGAGGGCAGACACCCACCCTAACCACCCTGTAATGTCTCTCCTCAACTGGACAGGGGAGACAAGATATAGCAAAAGGCTCATGAGCTGGGGTAAGGGGTTACAGTCTGTTCATCACACTTTGTTCTGCCACTGTTTCCTCCTCGTGGAGAGGAGTCTTTTCCCTGCTCCAGTGTGGGGTCACTTGCAACTGAGATAGTCTTCCATGAACATCTCCCTCCAAGATGAGTCCTTCCTGTGGACTACATTTCTTCATGAACTGCTGCAGTGTGAGTCCCTCCCATGGGGTGCAGTCCCTCAGGAACAGGCTGCTGCAGCCTGGGTCCCTCACATAGTCACACATCCTACCAGGAAACCTGCTACAGTGTGGGCTCTTCTCTCCATGGGGTTTCTCATGGGGTCACAGCCTCCTTTGGGCATCCCCCTGCTCCAGCAACGGCTCCTCCAGGGGCTGATCTCTCCACCCCCATGCCCTCCATGGGCTGCAGGGCACAGGAGAATCCTGGAGCAGGTCCTGCCCCTCCTTCCTCACTTCCCTTCGTGTCTGCAGGGCTGTGCCTCTCACACGTTCTCACTCCATTCTTCTCTGACTGTAGTTGCTTCTGCCCAATAACATTTTTTTTCTTAAATATGTTATTCCAGAGGTATTACCACCATCCCTGACTGGCCCAGCCTTGGCTGGTGGTGAGACCATCCTGGATTCAGTGGCATTGGCTCTGCTGGGCATGGGGGAAGCTTCCAGCACCTTCTCAGAGAACCCATCCCTATAGAACCCATCCCTACAGCCCACCCACCCCCACTACCAAAACCTGGCCATACAAACCCAATATGCAGGTTTAGTGAGGTTTACTGTGACCCATGACTGCTTACTCAGTTTTGCATTCTAAAATAGATATTTTCTTCATGATTTTTTTGAATGTGGGAGGAGTGAGAAACTAGGATGAGCAACACAACATAAGAGAGGTACTATATTCAGTTGAATTTTAAGAGTGTGGTTTCTGGTGATGGGTGTGGTGGTAGTTGGATCCTGCTGTATGCCCTTCAGCCTTCACTCTTAATTTAGCAATGGTTTTAATTTTGGAATATCTAAATAATACTCAAAAGTAGTCAAAGTCATTGTGTTTTTGCCAGCTTCAGCAGAATAAACAAATGCAACACTTGCAGGCACACCATTTCATAGAGGTGACAAGCCAAGCAAAGTTAGGCAAATTTTCTGGTGAACTTTCATTTGGGGATGAGAGGGTAGAGGCTGCTCACTTCATAAGCATGGCTTCCAAAATGTTTATGTAGGCTATGTTTAGTGATTTAGTTATTCCTCTTCAGAATTTTAGAAAAGTCCATGAAAGATGTTGATTAGGTTCTTTCTAAAGATAATAATAATAATAATAATTAAAAAAGAAGGAAAATGCATTCCAACTCCAGAAGTTTGGATGATTAGAAGGCAAGATCTTGAACGAGTAAGGTGTTAGCTGGAAATACTCTGAAGTCAGTGTTGTGCATTAGCTGATATCCTTTCCATCTTTGGCAGACCTGCCTTCCATTTGTTAACCACCATAATGTCCTCCAACTGAGATGGCAGCAATGGTGGAGAAGAATGAGGCAAGCATTTCAAGTGCTGTGTGGCCGCACCTTGCCTGTGTTTTTCTCTGTTCAGCTGCAGCTTTGGGAATTAGAGGTGGTACGTTTCTAATGTAGAGTGTTAAGTGTGCTGGGTTTGGGTCAATCCAAACTGAACTCTTGAGTTGTCAAAAAAGTAGAGGAAATACAGGAGCTGACCCTGGACCTTAAACACAGTGACAATTTGGACTTCTGGTCAAACATGCAAAGTCTTACAAGCTGCAGCCAGCTTGTGTGATTGCCATTACAGCAAACCATCAGGGCTAAGCATCACCATCTTATCAAAGGTGTTGGTGTGGCAACAGAACCTGGGTCTCTCCTTAATTTATGCTAATATTTTGGCTGTCTCCTTTTTCTGAGCAGTAGTTAGACATGGTGCATCCATAGCAAATAACGTTATTCACATTAGATTAAGATTAAATGTTCTTCTGTGTGTTGTTTCTCTTTCCTTTGCAGAGCCTCACTGTTGTGACAAGTCCAGTTCCCAATCAAAACCTGGATATGCAGCCCTATGACCTGAGCATTGACATCTACAGCCGCTACATCTACTGGACCTGCGAGGCCACCAACGTCATCAACGTGACTCACCTAGATGGGAGACCCATGGGAGTGGTGCTCAAGGGGGATCAGGATAGGCCAAGAGCCATTGTGGTGAATCCAGAGAAAGGGTATGTGGGGAAATTCAGGCCCAGGGTTTTGAGAATCCAGTTGTTTTCTTGCTGCACCTTGTTTTCTGTTTGTCAGAATGAAAAACAACTTTGACATTTGTTAAGATGTCTTGGATTTATAGCAAAAATGTGGACAGATCAAATAAACCTTTTTTTCCCCTCTAATCATTCCTGTTCCAGATACATGTATTTCACCAACCTCCAGGAAAGATCTCCTAAAATTGAGAGAGCAGCATTGGATGGAACTGAGCGAGAAGTCCTTTTTTTCAGTGGTTTGAGCAAGCCCATAGCCTTAGCTATTGATAGCCAGCTGGGCAAGTTGTTCTGGGCTGATTCGGATCTGCGCAGAATTGAAAGCAGTGACCTTTCAGGTAGAGTAGCACCTTAATTCAGTGATTCATTTATGTGGTGAGGGTGTGGGGGAATGCAGAGAGAAAGGTTGTCATCTTTTCCTTCCTACTATAAACAGTCTGTACTATGATTCTAATCACTCCCTGAATTCCCAGCCAGGGAATGTGCATGATTCATGCAGCGTGTCTTTACAGTTTCGTGACTCCGTGATTTGCATTATTAATTGCTACACATGCTATTTACTTCAGTTTCTCACTGCAAAACCTTTGTGTGGTTTCCCAAAGTTAGCAGCAGTTTTGGAAAGGGGAGAGAAAGGGTTGCTTTTAAAGGTATTGCTTTTGGTGCAGAAATCTATCACTCAGAGGAAAGCTCCCTGTTAGTGGAAAAATGTGTCCTGCAGAGTTGAAGCAGCAGGTGTCCAGGTTACTTATGTACCTGTCATTTGGGGTAAAAAGATGTGAGAAGGATAGAAAAGATCTAACATCTCTCTGTCCTCAAAAGACAAAAATCTCCCTCTTCCAGCTGTGGAATTCTTTGCCTGCTCCCCAAGATTGGTTATGCTGCTTATATGATCATCTCTACAAGTTCATTCAGCCCACTTGACAATAACCTAACAACATTATACAGAAAATGACAAATAAGAGAATGGTGTTCTGTTGGCTTAGAAAGCTGCATTGGTTCAGGAAAGAGTCCAGCAAGCAACCAGAAGTGGAGCAAGAGAAGAGGGGAAAATCATATGGTCCAGATTGGGTGAGAAAGACAAATGTCTTTCATTTACTAGCCTAATCCAGCAAACTGCTGGATCAGCTCAGCTGCCTCATGTAGCATCAGTATTAATTTGTGATACAGATTGGGCTGGATGTTGTTGCTGGAAGTGAGAGTTGAAAACATAACAGGAGTTTTGACAGTTTGCAGTAATGTTTGTGGTAATGTCTTCCACTTATGACATGGTACCTTCATTCAAAGTAGCAGCATGTAACCCTGTTGACACCACTTGGATTTTCATCCTTGTATTAAGTTCCTAGAATAAACTTTTGTTTTGGAAAACATTTTGGTTTTGGACAAAAACAAAGATGTTTTTTTCCAGATGATTGGAATTAAAGCTCAGAAAGACTAATTTTTTTCAGTGGTGTGTCACTGGAAGATGCAGGGTCACTACTGAACTGTGATATCCTGATTGTTTACTGTTTTAAAATGCAAGACACAACTTGAGTTAGTGAATTATTAAAGAACAAAAAAAAAACCAAAAACAAACAAGTGCTGTGGTGTTGCTTGGTATTTTCCAAGCTGTCCCAGATCCAGGGTTTACATGAGTAGAGTAACAGGCATGAGAATATTACACGAGCTTTATTTCTCTGTCTGTTATCAGCCTGAAATTAGGACACCAGACAAGAAGATGGGTCTAAATTCTAATTCAGTCTAGGTTTAATGATTATGATTTTGTTGGGTTTATTTTCTCCTTAAAGATGTGGCTATTGAATCACCAATGTTATATAGTAAAAGCAAACCATATTTTGAAGAGCATGAAGAAAAAATATTCCAAAACCTCTCTTGCTTTTTGGTATTTGCACCACAAATAGATTGCTATAATCACCATGATAAATTGCTAACTGCTGAGATGCATTCCTGTGCTTAGGAATGCTGATTAATTAGGTCTTTTAACCAGCAGAGCAATTTTTCTGCATATTAGCTTCTTAAAAACATTCAGACTCTTGCTCTGTCAATTCTGTAGATGCCAGTACCCATAAAGACAAGGACAGCTAGGATGCCTTTTATGTGATGTAGTCCTTCTTTTCCTCCCTGTCCTTCAGGCATGCAGTTAGGACTTGGTTATTCTGCCCAAATTGGAGATCCTATTGAAGTTAACCAGATTCTTCACATGATTAAGGGGTTGTTTATGAAAAGCTGGAATTAGCTCCCTACCATGGAAACTATTTGGAAATTAGTTCTTCTATTCCAGAATAGTTAGTGTGATTTGGAAAGGGCTAATGATTCTGGAATTAAGTAATTTTTATTTGGAAATAGAATGAGCAATGAGTGTGTCCTAATTTTTGTATTTATTTGGTTGGTTTTAAGTCTTTTTCTAAAAGGTACTGCTGAAAAGGGGATGGTAATGCCAGGAGACAAAGCTCCTCTTAATCATGTCTCCCTTTCATCTGACTAGCAGACTAGTACCCTGATGAGTCAGCTGCAGGTTTCATTGTTGGTTTATGGAAGAAGGGATTTTAGTGTCTCAGTTTACCAGAAATAATCAGTTGCACTTGGTCACAAGTATTAAAAAGAAAGATTAAGACATTAAGGGAGTGAAAAGATCAAGCTTCAGAGCTTTAGGAACATACTGCAAAATGCCATGCTGATTGACATGGGCATGGCAGAGCAGGGCATGTACAGACTCCATTCGGGTATGTCAAGGTCTTAGCTTTTGTATTCCTTCTTGTCTTCTTTGCATTTTGCCCTATTCTCAGCTTAACTTTATTTCTCAAGATGCAGGTTTGTGTTTCTTACCTTTTCCCTATAGAATTAGTCATGTTATTGGGGTTTAATGGATGGTTGCAGTTATTTAGGTTGACTTACATCACTCAGTCTAATAATTTCTACATCAGTCTGGGTATAACCTCCTTCAGAATTCATCAACATCTTTTCTTAATCAGATCATTGCTGATGTTGCTCCAAAGTGGTGGTGAGAGCCCAGCCTAGCTGATCTGAATTCCCATGTTTTCCTTCAGGTTTTAATGCTTGGTAAATGTTTGGAAGGTTACTTAACTCTCAGCTCTCTGTGTATTTAGTGCAAAGGAGATAAATAAATTTTTCATAGCTGAATTTATTTCTAAGTCATCATCATTGACATAATGTTGATGAAATTCTCAACAACCAGAAAACCCCTTCTTGCTACTAAAGAAAGCAGAGTGGGATAGAACTTACTCAGAAATCATAAAGTACGTGTGTCTTCTGTCCTGTTATCTTCTGTTGGTATGGTAGAGATGTGGTAGATTTTTTTCCCCTGGTATTGAGCTATTCCAGTATATTTTTACAGAACAAAAATATAAAAACTTACTTCATCATTCTGTGGATGAACAATGTAAACTTATTGTTTGCTCTAGTAAAAGCTGAAAATAAGCACAGCTCAGATATCAGAAATACCAGGATTTGGAGGTAATTTTTCAAGCTTTAGCTTTACTTGTGTGATCCTGTTTCAGCTTCTCAAAATTGAAGCAGATTCTATGTGCTTCACAAGTAATTTTGTGTTCAGAATATGATCAACTCACTGAATATTTTACTGTTAATGACGATGTCATCATGGTAAATAAAGGAAGCATGGATTAAGTCTCCCTCCTGAGCCCTCAGATTTTGACTAACATTTTTTTCTGTGTGAGTTACAAAGTCTTCACTGTCTTCAGACAGACTTTAGTGATAGCTTTAAAACAACTGTTGGCTGTGTTCTCTACATGTGGAGAGTTAACCATGAAATGTGACAGTTGCTCTTGACTGTATGTAGTGCCAGAACATCTGGCACAAAAATCAATAACCACTCTTGAGGTGTAAGGCCTCTTGTCTGCTCCTGGTGATTGCTAAAGGAACTCAGGAAAGTATGTCTTTGCTAGGAAGAAAGGAGCATTCCAAATTTAGCACTAGGAGCTCAATGAAGGTAATGTAGCTGAAAGAAAAGAACATGAGGAAGTCAGAAGTGTTAATCTCATAACTCATGTGAGAAGTCCTAATTACCCTGCTTTCACTTGGATTTTATCTTGTATGGTTTAGCTGAAGCCACTAATCCATCTTCTTATTCCCTGTTGTATAGTAAGAAAAAGCAATTAATCTCTCCAAAAAGGGAAAGAAGAATGAAAAGCATTACCAATTTCCATCACATTGATAAGAAACTGGAAAGGCTCATGAGAGATGAGCCCCTCTGCTCCAAGTAATTCTTAAATACACTAGATATTTTCTGAGCACAAAAACACTCTTCTTGGTGAAAGCAGAAAAAGAATTTGATCATCTGTCTGCAAAATGCATTAGTCTTACATCAGAGGACCCAGAATTGCCTGGGGTTTTGTAGTAGGCTTACCCAGTAGTGAAAAATAATGGTATGTGTAGTGTAGAAGTTTCTGATAGTTTTTTCTAGTTGAACCAGAGCATTCTCTCCCTTCTGCAGGTGCTAACCGGATTGTTTTGGAAGATTCCAATATCCTGCAGCCTGTGGGACTAACTGTATTTGAGAACTGGCTGTACTGGATTGACAAGCAGCAGCAGATGATTGAAAAGATTGATATGACCGGTCGAGAAGGACGTACAAAGGTCCAGGCCCGTATTGCACAACTCAGTGACATCCATGCTGTGAAGGAGCTCAACCTGCAGGAATACAGTGAGTGCAATTCCTGCTTGCAGGTGCAAACAGAGCCTGTGAGACTCGAGCCAAGAGACATGAGCCTGTTGTGCCTTGTTGCTGATCAATATCAGTGCAGATGGAAGGGGCCAGAAGTTGGTATCGGTGCTGTTAGGTTGTTTCCTTCAGGCACTTGGCAATAGACTGGGAATCTATCACAACCCCAGCATCATGTTTTGTTGCTGATGACAACTTGATTGGTAGTCCCATCCAGGCACCTGGCATTTGAGTGTCTCTAGGCACAGCGGAAATATCCTGTTATCCCTAATAGAGGACTTTCTGGATCATGCTAGTGCAATACTATAGGGTGTTCACTGTTTAGGCAAGCTCTCAGGGCCTGTCACTAGCTGTCAGTGTTTCAGTGAACTGCCTGCCTTGGGGGCAAAGTGAACAATTTTTGGTGGTGGTATTTCATACTGAAAGTGAATTTACAGAAGAGCAATGTTGCATTGCACAAAGGAAATTAGTATTAAATAGCAATTTGTGTTGATCATGGCTGCACTTTTTATAAGTTTTGGCTTACCAGGCCTTTACACACACACACGCCTTAAGTGGTGGGAGGTGGATGGTTAAAGCAATGGAGTTGCTGTCATCCTGAAGGAAATAGGCCTGGTTGGTAGGCTATGGTGCATGCCTTGGAGAAATATGTAGAAAAATGTGTGGGGATGTTTAATTAAAACATCAGTGCAGACTACTACTAGTTTTGTGTGCTATTAATCTCAGTAAATCTGTCAGGAGTTCCAAGAGAAGTATGTTGTCCTTATTAAACATTAAAATGAAGAGACATATTTATCTAGAGCATGTTAATTTGAGTTTCAGAGACAGCATGGAAGCTTTAGAATCCATACATTAGAAAAGTTTATTTTTTAATGGTCTTTGGTAGAGAAAATGAAATATGGAATCCAAGACATCTTTTTGTATTACTAATGTACTATTTGCTGCAGAGAACTACTGCTACCTCACACAGGAAGCAGAATGCTTTGAGTACTGTTTTAGTATAAATTCTCTGAGTAGTTTCAGATCATGGAGAGTTACCAATGTATGTTATAATTATAGATGTGTGTAAAGGGAGAAATACAACAAAATACCATATTAACAGAGATTTTTCATTTATCCTCTCCCCAGGGGGTAGGGGGTAATGAAGAAATAATTGAAAGGTCATAAAATAGGTGGCGATTTCTTATAATTCCTGTCTTTCTTATTTTTAAAATCCTAGGACAACATCCATGCTCTCAGGATAATGGTGGGTGCTCCCACATTTGCATTGTCAAGGGGGATGGCACCACACGTTGCTCTTGCCCTGTGCACCTGGTGCTGCTGCAGGATGAGCTGTCTTGCGGAGGTGAGTCCTTCTTAAGTTCTGTCACTGGGCTTTTAGCTTTGGCCTGGGGGAGGGTCTCCATCTTCAGGGATGACTTCTGAGCCAAAGGAATGTGACAGTGCACCAGGTGCTGTTACACACCTGTACTGACTCACCTCTGTCCCTCCACCCTCCAGCTAAATCTGCAAGTATTGAGAAGGAGTAAGGGAAGAGGAACATAATCCCTTACTGTTGGATAAGGATTTCTGTTCACCCTTTCTACTTAAAACTCAAACTTAAGACTCAACTTAAGTTGAATTATTTCACCTTGATTCTTTAATTGTATGATTTTTGTTACTTTTTGCTGTCACTCCCCATGTTCTGCCTTTTCAGGCAGTGGTAGATTCTCACATTCTGGCACATTGTGCAGTCTGTGCTGTTTTGTTTTTCTCCGTTGTCCTCCCCAAGCTCACCCTGTGTCTTTCTGAACTGCAGTCCCAGAAGGGCAAGTTGCCTCCTTCCATGGCAATATGGCTGTTGTAGCCCATGCCCTGGTGTCTCCAGGGGTGGGGCTGGAATGGGGGAGAGGTCAGGCACTTTGGTGCTTGGATCTCTTTGTGCCACCAGACTGAATAGATTTATTGTGCAATCATCTTGCCATTGAGGCAATGTGTGGTCTCACAATGGAACAAGAACTAACATAATCCAGACATTTTCTCAGAGCAAGTTTAATACTAGGCCAAAAAGCTGGGGGAGGAAAAGGGGATTAAAAAAAGGGAAAAAATCTAAACTAACTGCCTGAGATTAACAGTTAATGTGTAAAAGTTAAATAACAGCTAACAGATGTGTTGAGGTAGTAGAACTTGACTAGATGGAGAAGTTTTTTGTTTTAAAATAATTTTGACTGAATAGAGCTGTCAAGGGCACATAACTAGACACTGAATCACAGTGCATCCATCTGCAGCAAATTAGATCCTTTTAACATCTTTTATACAATGACTGTCAAACATGAAGAAGAGAGTAAGCCATTGGCTGAGTATACAGTGGTGTTGCAGAAAAGGGGGAGTTGAAGAGTGTGGCGACTTGAAGTCTTACTAAGAGAAAGGTGTGAGAGTCTGAAGTGGGAAGGGAAGAAAATAATGGTTTTGAGTGTGCATGTTTCTCTGTTCCTCTTGTTCTTTATCTGTCAAGCCCCCGATGTGAACCTGCATCAGTCACACTGGCCTCAAGGTCTGCAAAAGTGGCTGTCAACGCAGTGGCTGTGGAAGTGACCTTACAATGTGGCACATTGTTCATCAGCTGCTTTGATATGGGAAAGCAGCTGAGCTCTTGTCCTTACCTGTCCCGATCTGCTGTTCGCTCACCTGGATTTTTAACTTCTGTTTGTTTGCTTGATTTTCAAAGAACCACCAACATGCTCCCCTCAGCAGTTCACCTGTTTCACAGGTGAGATTGACTGCATCCCAGTGGCCTGGCGCTGCGATGGGTTCACTGAGTGTGAAGACCACAGTGATGAGAAGAACTGCCCGGTGTGCTCTGACACCCAGTTCCAGTGTGAGAGTGGGCAGTGCATCGACAGTGCCCTGCGCTGCAATGGGGAAGCCAATTGTCAGGACAACTCGGATGAGAAGAACTGCGAAGGTAAAGAGGATACTGCCAAGTGGGATGGAAATGTACCTGTCACAGGGACACTGGGATAAGTACCAGCATTATTGCTCAGAAGGATTTGAAAAGATCCAAAGTTCTGCTAGTGTTTAAATGGGTCTGCTACACAGAAGTTATTTCGTAACTCCATAGTTTTGTTTCTCTACCTGTGAAGTTGAAATTAAGAGGAATGTCTGTCAGAGTGGCTTAAATGCTGTTTGTGAAAAGTACTATCAAAAATGGCATGATTTTAAGCTCTAAAAACCTAGTATCTGAGAGTGAACTAAAAAGTGGGAGTGAGAGACAGAAAAGATTTCTGAAGACCTCTTCTTCCCGTAGAGCACATCAAAAGAGAATATTTAAGCCATCTTTACATAGAGGGAAGTGCTGTTGCCAACACAATGAGAATTAAGTTCATTTTGGAAAGGACAGGTCTTGCTGGTGGAATCTGAAACTACCCCACCACTGCCCAACATGAAATGTGAGCAAACTCACCCTTTCTGTATTGCAAATGTAGTGAAGAGTTGTAGGGACAACCTGTAAGCTTGAAAGGATGCTTCTTCTTTATATCCTTTCAGTGCATTTTCCTTCTTTGTGGACACTCTTGAAATGTCCTTAAATCAAGGCTAAATTTCTTTCCAAAAGATGTTCTCCAGTTCAAACAAAAATATAGAGCTGAAATTCCTGTGTGCTGAAAGGTGATTGTTAGCCAGCTGAGGTGCTGACATCTGAAAATGTGCAAGTTAACTTCCCAGCTGTCATCCAGCAACTGGAGATGTCATAGCAGGGGCTGTTTATCACCTTCAAAGTGGTCCTGTTACTGAGAGTATTTAAATTGATTACAAATCAGAAAAGCCTTTAGTTTAACTTCTTAATTCAGTTGAAGGCAAAAAAGGATTTCTGGATTTATGAGAAACAGGAAGCAGGAATATGTGGAAACAGCAGCAGCCAGCACCTTGCCTGCAGCACCTTTCAGTTTTCAATGTACTGACAGTATTATATTCTGTCCTTCATCTCAGTTTAAAAATATAATATCAATTCAATATATTGTCTCATGATTGAGGAGTTTTCTGGTTTACAGGAAGAGCACAAGGACATTAAGAAGGACATTTATCTTTCTTAAATAATTTTATTATCATGGTTTGGCAGATTTATTTTCATAATTTAATTCTTCTTTTATACTACAGTAGATGCTTAGGGTTGGAGATTCTTATAGTAATATTGCAATAACCATGTCCTGGGATAATTGCTTGTCTTTTCAATGGCCTCTGAGTTATTTTAGATGAGGGTTACTTTATCTTGTAGTGTTCTTACTGTAAGCAGTTAGTAATGCCCAGGTACCAGTGTGCACTACCCTCAACAGAACACTGAGTCACTTGCTCTGCATGGTTCACGTGAGGGACTTTGCGTGCCACTGGCTACTTCCAGAAATGAAGCTTGCAGCATTCCAAGCTCTCCCAAGATACTTCTGATTGTATGTTTTGGTGTCTTTATTTCTTAATGATTTTCAAGAGGAGAAGTTTCTGGTGCTGACTGTTGGTGTGGGGCTTCTTTGCAGTGCTGTGTTTAACGGATCAGTTCCGCTGTGCCAGTGGGCAGTGCATCGGAAAAAGCAAGAAGTGCGATCACAACCTGGACTGCAGTGACAGCTCTGATGAACAAGGATGCTGTAAGTGTACTGCTGGAGACTTGGTTGCAGCATCCAAAATTTGCTTCTAACCTTTTCTATGAGTTTGATTTTATTCTGCCAAGCAGACTAAATTAGTTGTTCCCAGAATTAATGCTTCTCTTCATAACTGCTGTCATGCAATTAACGCAAAATGTGGTGGAATATTTAACAAAAATAATTAGTATTCTGAACAAGTAGTTTCTAAGGCAGTGAATGCCAGTTATTTTTCTTTTTACCCTTTTAAAATTTTAAAAGAAGTTAAGGGTTTGTTTTACTAGTTAGTGTTAATATGCTGAGTTGGTGCAGTGTTAAAAAAATATGTACTGGCATGAGGCATTCATATGTAACTTCCCTGCTTCATGGTTTTCTTATCCAGGCAATTAATAGCAGGTGCTTTTAGAATCAGAGGAACACTCTGTCTATAGAGTAAACCTTCTAAAATGTTGTTGGTGGTGGTGGTTTTTTTTTTTTAATCTTAAAAGGATGTAATTCTGAGCTTGATTTCTGACTTGGAACATGTAATATCCCCTACCTTGAAATCTCCAGGGCTCTACAAGAGAAGCACTGCCTTTAAAATTCCAACTCAAAAGTTCACTTTCACTGTTGGCGCTTTAAAAGAAATTGTAAATAGGGGCATCTCATCTTGTGTTAGAGATCCATATATCACAGCTGGCACATAGATAACTTGAAAATGCAAAGTCAGAGTTGGGCCCTTGATCTTAAGAAGGAGTATTAAAAGATGTTCTATCATGCGACCAAGTTACTAGTGACATTATCACAGGCTTGTGTAGTTCCCTTTTTATTAGAGTTTATATATTCCCCAGTTTTGTAACAGAGGATGGAAAATTGGCCCACCCAGAATAAGATGGCAGTTGTCACCATCCCTCTTTCACTATGATCAGAACTCTGTTTACTTATCTCTGTAGACTGTTACATGCTGGTTCAAGTGTAGGTTTGGTGTTCAGGGAGAAGAAAATGTGTTGAGGAAAAAACTTCCAGTTAATGCATAAGATGTAAAACACTGACTAGAACAGGAAAATACTTTAAAGTCTGCCTTTCTTGTCAAATTCATGAGTACAGGCAGGGGGTTGTCAGTTACTCCCAGAGATGTCATTGCTTAGAATTGGTCTTGTAGGGAAAGCCACTGATTTTGACTGTTTAGTAATTTTCTATAAGGTGTCACCACTCAGGCTGATGCTCAGCTGTATCTGTAACCATAAGGGTGGGTCAGATGTGGAATAGTTTAGGTGGTTTAACAAACAGCAGCAAACCCAAAATTCACCACTGCTGAACACTCAAGGTGATGCAACATAACTGATTTTTACACTGCTGAGAAAAGGGAGTTCCAGTCTGTTACTGAGGGATAACCGAGGTATGACATCAAAAGTTGTTGTCATCTTCAATAACAAGAAAAGCACAAGAGGTGTCCCCTGCACAGTGTCATCTGGAGACGTGGCTGCAGGTCTTGTTCATCAAGTTCAAAGGATAGCTCTGCTTGTCAGCCTGAAGCAAGAGTGGGGCCTGGTTCATCACTCCCTCTGCACCTGCATGTACTGCTCCTTTCCTGTTATTTGTGATCTGAAAAACCTCATTGCATATTTGGAGGTCATCTTGGGAGGCTTCAGGTAGCCATTATGGACATTCAGTGTCTGAACAGACCTGTCGTAGGGACTGTTTGTTCCACCCATATATTAATTACAAAGTTGTTGTCTGCCAGCAGAAGAGGAAAGTGGAAAGATATAAGAAAAACTGATGTTAGTCTAAACTTACATGATCTGATTTCTCTTTTCCCTTTTAGACACAACAGAGGAACCTGCACCACAACCCAACAACACCATAGGCTCCATCATTGGTGTGATCCTTACAGTCTTTGTGGTGGGAGCAATGTACTTCATCTGCCAGAGGGTGCTGTGCCCACGCATGAAGGGGGATGGGGAAACCATGACCAATGATTACGTGGTGCACGGGCCAGCCTCGGTACCTCTGGGCTATGTGCCTCACCCAAGCTCTCTGTCAGGGTCTCTCCCTGGTAAGTAAAGGAGGTGATCCTTCTCTTTGGTACCCCACAGCTGTACTTGAGGATACTGTGCATCTGTGTACAGGAAGTGTCTGCTCCTGATACAGTTCCTGGAAGGTGTGGGAAGCCAGGACTGCCAAGGCTTGTTGCCATCCTTCTTTACAGTAGTGAACTGCTATGTTACCCATGATGTTCATGAGCATTTAGGTACTTAGCAGAACCTAAGCTCAAATAAATGCACGCACTATGCATTATCTCATTTTGCTAAAGAATCCCCTTTTTGGGCTGTTGTAGCACCAGCAAAATTTCTCAACAGTACTGGGTAAAGTTACACAGAGTTCATAGGACTTTAAACATTATATAATCATTCTTGGTAGATTTGTAGACTAAGTTGGCATGCTTGTGAGACTTCTTGCCAAGTCTGCAATGACCAGCTTTGGTCCCAGCTTAATTTAATGATGAGTTTTCCAACACCAGTCCAAGCACATGATGCTACTGCTGTTTACAAAGTAAAACTTAACCACAATATTGCACTTCATCTATGTGCATTGCTTCTGTATATACTGATTAAATATGTACTATAACTTGTGGCTTTTAGATCCAACAGGCTCCTCTTGGAACCTAATTTGATTTTAAAACCAAGATAATTCATTTTGGGTTTGCAAGCTGTGCTTATGCTGCTGTTGTCCTCCAGATTATTTTTTTTTTTAAGTTTCCTTTTGTCTGTGAATTCAGGAAGAATTGAATACTGACACATGTCTCTGTTCTTCAGGTATGTCTCGAGGTAAATCTGTCATCAGCTCCCTCAGCATTATGGGAGGGAGCAGTGGCCCACCCTATGACAGAGCCCATGTTACAGGAGCCTCCTCTAGTAGTTCTTCAAGTACCAAAGGCACTTACTTTCCTCCAGTAAGTAATTCTATTATTCATAAACTTTTAATAACTTTCAGGGAAGTGACAGTGTCTTTCTAAAGGTTAATCAATCGACAGATTAATGTTTTGATTTAGAATTCTAGCCTAATAAACTTGTTTGTATATGAAGTAAGTGATTTTGAAAGGGAAGAGGATTGTCTTTTTCCAAAATGGTCTAGAAATTTTCACTTGATTTAAAAAGCTGTGAGTGAGCTCAGTACCAGGAAAAAAAAGATGTTAGATTGAATGTCAGGGGAGATGAAAAAAATCCCTGTAGATGTTGAGCAGCTCTGGCAGAGAGATCTCCTTTCATTATACTCTGCCATGTGTCTCTGAAGGTAAAACTAAGGTTGATTCTGTACAGACCTTTCAAAGAAATAAAATGAAGCTTTGTGTCATGCGTATTACAAGTGACAGGTAAATAAGTAAGCAAGTATTTTGCAACTCTGTAACATCCCTCCATCACAGATAGATAATATGCTGCACTAACTGCTGTGTAACAGTTGGTGCCAGCCCTAGAGGGCTCCCTGTCTCTTCGCTTGGAGCATCTATGGTGGATGGTTTGGATATTTTTATGGAGCTCACCAAGCTACACGGTTGAGTGTTAAAGAGTCCCATGCTTGGTCAGTGAAGGCTGAAATCTTCAACTGTCTGTTTTCAGTTCTGACAATCAACCCATCAGGCTTTAAAATCAGTTTTAAATTAATCCAAATATATGGAGTAAGAATATGCCTGCATAGGGAAGGAATGCTTGCCTTGGCCAGCACACTGCAAGTATTTTAAGCAGAGCAATACTTCGGGACTGCAGCTTGCAGGAGCAGAGATCTGCCAGTCTGCCTTTGGCAGTAGTATCCCTAGTGACAATCTAGAATAGAACAGCTGGCTGCAACTTTACTTTTCAGCACTGGCTATGTCAAAATAGCCACAGCAGTCAGCGTTTTTTGAGAAGAGCTTAGTAATAGTCAGTAGGAATGGCAACAAATGGCATTTCCAGGGTCTGTTTAAGAGTTGGGGAATAAACAGGGAAAAAATTATTTTTGTTGGGAGGCCTATGTATTCAGTTCTTTACTTAAGGTTCCTGTTAGACAGTACTAAAAAATTATAAACTGGCATTTTCCCAAGTTTACTTTGTATCTTTCCTTTTTAAAAGTGGCTTTTTTCCTTTCTTACTCCTTAGATTTTGAACCCACCACCATCACCAGCTACTGAACGTTCACACTATACCATGGAATTTGGTTATTCTTCAAACAGCCCATCTACTCATAGATCCTACAGGTAATTACTATTACAATAGCTTCTGTCAGGATCAAAGCAGTTAGTGTAGAAAATGCAGAATAAAGGCAGCCTCTGCTTCATAAGAATTACAATCAAAGGCCCTAATTCTGCAAGCGCTAAACTGGTGCTTAAATGGGCTCACATGTATCATGTCACTGCTGCCCATGTAGAAGTGCAGCACTGTTTGAGGTAAATTATACATTTAAGTGGGTATACAGTGGATACATCCCTGGAGTATATTCCTTTGGGGGAATGACAGCACTCATCACAAAACTAGCTACATGCCAAAAAAATGCAGCACCATGATTATTTTTGAGCAAAAAAAACTTACCCTGGAGTGAACCCTTCCTTTTTTTAGGCTTCTGCTATATATGATTTGTTATGTAATTATTAGAAATTATAAGCAAATACCCTGTGGAGGAAAAGTTGGCAATATAAAGGCATTGTAATAGGTCATAAGTAACATTAATAGTGTTGTCTAGATAAAGCACAGAATTTCTAGTTTGACACATTAAGGGTTAATATCTGGAAAAAACTGCTAACCTTTTATTGCTAACCTTGCTTTATATTCTCTTGACTAGTATTTATGGGCATGCATTTTCTGTTTGAATGTATTCTTCTTACCTTCCCTGTAAGAATGCTGGAGTTAGTTATGATTTTATAACAAGTTACCAAAAATAGATGAACCAACCTCTGTTACCCAAGGGTGTAAAGGTACCCCTCCCACATCACCAGTAGATGTGGTCAGTGACAAGAGTGCTGTATTTGTCTGAAATATGTGCCTCCCTAACACAGAGCCTTTGGGGGCTTTGGATAATGAGGTCTCTGGGGCTGAACAGACATCTCTTCTCCATTAGCAGAAAATATGGCCACTGTTGTGCAGAAGGTCAGACCAGATGTTTATAATGATCCCTTGCAGCCATATGAAAAATCTTTTAAAATTATGTAATTTTCTAATGAAAAAAAACCAAATTCAGGCACCAGCACAGGTCACCTGCTGGTTAGCTGATGTGACTTTTAGTATTAAAAATTACATTAGGGATGTAGCATAGTGTTCAATATTTTCCAAATGCTCCTTCACCCAAAAATAAACACTGGTCTTGCTGCTTCTGATCTTACTTCTGACTTGACTATAGAGGAGCTGCACCCCTTTGTGTCCCCAACCACTGACTGTGATGCTGGGATTTGTAGTTAACATGCATTTCCCCTTCTGATTTGTTTCCTTGAAACTATCTTGGGCTCATTTTAGAAGATGTTTTGTGGTAGCAGCCTTTGAGAATTTCATCCTAGTTATTTCTCTAAGGAATGCTTCTCCTGAATGCTGTGAGTGTGCCAGGTAATTTTCTGTCCTCCTGTCTGTCCGGGGAAGTTAGTATCCAGAAATTGCATAATGGCAATTGAATTATCCTCTCCATAATTGCAACACAGCTATTACACAGGCACATGCACACCCGTGCCCTTCCTGCTTCGCTGTCTTAGGAGCAACTTTTTCTACCTCAGTTAAGTCCTTAGGGAGTCTGTTGTGTGAGAGATTGTTCTCAGGCACTGCTCCTTTCTGTGGCACAACAAAAGCTCTTACACAGGTGCTCCTTTCATCTCTGAACAGGCACTGCTAGGGTCACTGGAAACATCTGGGGAATGGGAAGCACTTAGGACTTAGCAAACCTGGGTTTTCCAGTTATCTTGGAATCACAGAATGCTGTGGGCATGAAGGAACTTTAGTCCATCCAGTTTTATCCTCTGCCATGGGCAGGAACATCTTCCACTAGACCAGATTACTCCCTGGCCTGTCCAGGCTGGCCTGGAACACTTCCAGGGATGGGGCACCCACAACATTATGCATTAATTTAACCCAAATGCAATAATAGAATACTTACACCAAACATGGCACACTATCCAATTCCAGAAGTTTTGAGCACAGAATGAATTTTCTACGAGTAAAGCAGCACATCAGAAATTTACATGACCGGCTGCTCAGAGCTAAAATTAATTACTTTAACAAGTTAGATAATTACTGAAGAAATTGGCATCCCTTTCACTTGTTGCTGTGATGTGCCCAACGCCGTAGTACCTCTGCAGGGAAGTTTGGAGAGGAGATGCTGTGCATCACTGTAGAGGTTGTCCTGCTTTCTGTTGTCCACCTTGGCTTATCGCCCTTGAAAAAGGAAAACGACTCTTTTCCCCTCCATCTCCCCGCTACAGCTACCGGCCCTACAGCTACCGGCACTTCGCGCCGCCCACGACGCCCTGCAGCACGGACGTGTGCGACAGCGACTACGCCCCGAGCCGCCGGGTGCCCGCGGCCAAGGGCTACACCAGCGACCTCAACTACGACTCGGAGCCGGTGCCGCCGCCGCCCACGCCGCGCAGCCAGTACCTGTCTGCCGAGGAGAACTGCGAGAGCTGCCCGCCATCCCCCTACACCGAGCGCAGCTACTCCCACCACCTGTACCCGCCGCCGCCGTCCCCCTGCACCGACTCCTCCTGAGGGGCAGCCCCCCGCCCCGCGCCCTCCGCTCCACGCTGTAAATACAAAAGGTTCTGCTGGGGACGGGGGGAGGGAGCCCAGGATGGGGGAGGACAGTGTACAGTTAAACGTGGGGCGGAGGAACACTGAAGATATTTGTACAGAATAATTAAAAAAAAAAAAAAAGGATATTTATATATTTTCTTAAACAGCAGTTGCTGCTTGTGCCATAAGAAGAATTTTTGTATAAAAGAACCCAGACGTTTGTACAAAAAGTTTTTATTTTTGCAAATGGAACACAAAAACATGCCTTAAACTGAGCACATAAGAAAATAGAAGGACTGGGATATGTTACTTGTCCAGCGAGATGATGTGTGGGTTTTGTCAATACCAAAAATGTTTAAAGTAATTAATAATAAAGAAGTCCGTCTCAGAGCAGCATACCATAGATACTTGGAAGTAGCCAAATAACCTCTATGTTAACTGCAGAGGGCCAGCAAAGTTAAACTTGAAAATTCAGTCAGGACAGATATTAACCTTACACAAAAGGGCTTTCTTTTCTACAGGAACACAGCAATCATAGCAGTGAATCCAGAAAATCAGTCACACACTTTTTAAAATTAATACACCTTTGGTTTTCCATAATGCATTTAACAAATAAGAGCATTTAGAGCTCTCTCCCTGCTTCTGGAATTTCAGTTATTTTGACTGGATGTATTTTAAAGGATTTTTTTTAATTACAATTAAGTTTTCTTGTCTTTTCTTCATCCTTTTTTCCTGCCTGTGTCACTTAAATTCACGAGACTCCTATTTAAAGTACTGCTAGAACTGGGCTGCCATAAATGCCAGGTTTTCTCCTAATTAGCCTTGTCATGCAGTGATTTATCATGCTAATCATTACCCTCCCCATTCTGACACCATGGTAGGACTCACCAGGTCAGTACGATTCTCACTTCATTGACAAGGGTAATATGCATATACCTGAATGATTTTTAGTCCCTTAAAAAAGAAAAGCTTATTTTGACCTAGTGCCCACAAAATGTCAAATATTTTTGTACCACATAAAATATAGACAGCATATTTATAAACCATGAATTTAACCATGGATTGTTAGTTTTACTGTAAATTAATAATATATCCTTGCAGTACTTTCAGTGTATATTGATATCACAGTATACAAATCATATATATAAATATATATATTATTTTTTCCTTGTAAGGAAACATTTAACTTTCAGTAGAACAACTCTCCATAGGAAAAATAGATGATCATTGCAAGGGGTTCCCCTGCTGTATTAACTGCTTGTGTTTTGTGTTAGGTAAAGCCAGTTTTTCTCAGTATGATTTTGACATACCTCCTCTTTTGCATTGTGTGAGTTTAACACTTAAGTATTAACCGCTGTGAATGTCAAATTTTAAGATATTCTTAACCAAACCATTTTATATTCGCATCTCTATTTTTGTATATTGTCATATTTAGCCCCTTCTTCTGTCAGCCTCACCATGGTGATTTTGACAGGGAGACTATTTAATCAAGTGAAAACATTATTTGTGTGGTTTAAGGGGCAATGTAGGATATTGTTAACTCCTCCTGGACTCCAATGCAGTACTTTGAATTTGTTTTGTTTGCAGCAGAGCTCACCGTGTACCTGATCTTAGATGGCATTGTGCACTTCTACCTTCTTTTGACATCACATCCACTGAAGGTGCTCAGTGCCTTCGCAGACTGGTCCTCTGAGTCTTCTCTCTCAAAACAAAGGTCCTGGGGAGCTCCTGCCTCCTCACCTTTGGGTATGGAATGGGGATAGAAACTTTCCAGAGGCACCTTTCAGGTTTTATTGTTCCCTGTTGCTTCTTTCTCAGCCAGTTCCAACTGAAAGAGAAGTTATATGAAAATATAGCATGGGCTTGCAATTGATGCTGTTGACAAAATTAGTGACAAGTCATTCTTGCTAGCTGCCACTCATCTGGAGTACTGGATCCTAATTTGGTTTCATCTCCAAGGAAAATGGTGTCATTTGGATTCCATTTGTAGTAAAGGATCTTTCCTACGAGTCCAGAATACCTGAAGAAACTTTAAAAAGCCTTGGTGATCTCCAGGCTATTGCTGTTAATCTATGAAGATAGTATACTAAGGGGTTTTTTGCCCAGCTTCATTCTAGGTTTCTGGGAATTGTGGTAGCTGTTCTTCTGGCTCTTCCTTGCTGGTAGAGAAGCTTTCTTGTGTTGTCCAGCAGGATGGATGTTGAGGAGGGTGTTACAAACTTATATAAGGGAACTCAAAACCATATATATGAAGGGGGGGAGGGCAGGTGTGTCAGGGTTGGGGGTGAGGCTGGCACACTGATGAGAATTAGAATTTCTCTGTTGTTTACATTTTTTCATGTGCAGCATTCCGTGTGGGGTTCACATGTGGAAACTTGCACTAATGAACTCAGAAGAATATTGTATTGTTGTATCTCAGTCCAAGTGCTTGTACTGCAGTGGCAATGGTGTCTTCTTGCAAAATGTGTTTCTCAGTGTGCCAATTTCTTTTTGAAAAGCTACAGGATGGTTGAGCTTAAAGAGTGGTATCCTCTTTCTGGTGCAGCTGGACTGCCTCACTGAGGCATCCTCTTAGAGGGAGATTCCTGCAGGTAAATTTGTGTGTTAATTTAGCAAGGATTTGTTTAGAAGAAAGACATTTTCTGCATATGTATCTTGCTGCCTCCTGTGCTGGTTTACATCCACATAACCCAACTGAAATCTGTGGGGTAGACATAGAATTCCATGTAGCATTTGATCAAGTCTTTCTGATACAGGTATTTCAATTTGTGCATCAAATATTTTGGGTGATCTGCCTCTGAGAGGTTCATGACAAGGGAATTGGACAGGCTGGGGGTTTTCACTGAAAATGCCCAGCATAAAGAACAGGCTGTTCCTTGTCTGAGCAGAAAACGATGATCTGATTTTGCAAATACCTGTATTTTCTCAGTAAATCTGGAATAAATTTTTGAAAGAGGTGCTGATGTGTGAAGCTTTTCTCGGGCAGATCTCCAAATTGCAGAAGCATTGATGCAACCAGTACACACAGCTGACACATTCCCAATGGATAAACACTGAGACTGAACATTTTCTCTTTGCTCCTCTTTGCCACTGAGACAGTTGTGATTCATATTCTCTCTTTTCCTCAATGAGGATCATCTTATCTCCTGCTTCTCCAATTCACTGAGGTGTTTGGACTGTAAATAATACAGACATGCCCATTCAGGAGATTGGTGAAGTGAGTTTGTAGTATTAGCTTGGAAGGGATCTCACTGATGGCAGTGAAAATCACTCCTTATCCTTCAAGTTAAGCATAAAGGGTCCTTATCCTACAGCATCAGGTACAGTTAGGGCATTAATACAGAGACCCTTGAGTACTTTATCCTCTCTGTAGACATCTGGGCAGTGTTCTTAGCTGACTGTCTGGTGATTGGAATAGCTGGCATGCCCAGTCTGGAAGGAAAGAATCTGTTGTTGTAGCTAGAAAAAACAAAAAGCAACAAGACATTACAGCATAATTTGTTGAAAACTGACTGCATGTTTAAATGGCAGCATTAATGACAGCTAAGTCTGCCTTTTAAAGTTATACCTGGCATGTAATGCTGCATGCAGTTCATAGCTTCCTAAGGGTACTCCTCATTTCCCCACTGCTTTTGGATACCAAGATATTTATTAGGAAATAACTTGGATGTGATAAATGGAACACACACATGGCATTTACATTTGAAAATTGTTTCCATGAATATAAATTCATGCAACCTGTGCATATACATTGATTGAAATATTTACAGTAATGCAAAATACATAAGTGAGCCATTTGATATCAAGGGATGCATTTTGCTGTGAGTTGAAACTCTGCATGGTAAATTCTGAATTTCTGCAACAGCATTTCCCTCCCATGTGCATGTACCAGTGTGTGTGCAGGTACCCAACTCTTTGATAATGGGCATTTACCCAAAGCTGATCATTTTCTCTTGTGCATCGATTCAGCCTCCCTGACTCCCAGAGTGCCAATGCTGAGTGTTGTTCTGCTGTGTCTCACCTACCCTGGGCTCCTTTTGGCCAGCTCATATGACAGACAGTAGAACACCTGAATGCTCTGTTTAATGCTCTGTCAGGCTAGGCAGGAGAGGAAGCACATTTTTTATACTATTCCCCAATTTTTGGAGTCCATTTTGCAAAGTGCCTCTGTGTTTTGTAGGGACATGAAAAGCAGTCTGCTGCAGTTCTAGCATAATTATGAAGACAATTGCACCCAAACTGCTTGACGTGGTAGGTGGTGCAGTCAGCTGCAAGTGAAGTGCATGGGGAAAATCCCTGTCATTCCTATTTACTACACTATTGGGCCTTGATGGTGCTGTGGTCTCCAGCTCTGCCTTGCTTCTCTATTCATTAAAGCCCATTCTCTAGAGATGGCTTCATTGGCAGGTCCTAAACACAGTTTAAGCTTTAAAATAGTTAAACCTGTGCTAAGAGAAAGAAAAGGCCACTGTCTGAATATTATTTCCATTCCTGATTGCTTGGCAAATCTCAGATTAATTAATTAGCACCATACTGTGGGGAACTGCTTAACTACAGAGCTCCCTGGTCACACATGCTATTGGATATGATTCTTCATAGTATCTCTTAGGAAGAAATCAATCACTTTCTTTTCCTGACCTTTTTGCCTTGAGCATATTTGTCACACAGTATTGTGAAATAATCTGCTTCTGAACCTGTACTGTGCAGATTACTTATTAGTTCTCAACAGAAAAATAACTGGCTCATTGAGTGCAATAATAATTTGAGCATTGCTGTTCGGAAATTGCTTTCTAAGCAATGAGATTTTTTTAAATTGCATTTTGGTGTTGGTCAGGCTTGAAAATTAACCTTTAATTTAATGGAAGGTGACAGATAAATGTTGCAAATAAGTTAGGAATGAACTAATAGCTTGAAAAGGGCTACAGAACAGTCATTTTCTGTCTAAAAGAAATCAAACTACAGTAATGATCCACAATTTTCTTTCTTTTCCACCTTTCAAAAGGGAAGTGATTTGTGCATTTATAGGGACTGGGTGATTCACATCAGAACTGTGCAGGGTAAGCCAAGTGTCAGGGTTTTCAGGATTGTCCTAGTAGAAGACAGGGTGGTTGTTACAAACTCTTGGAGAGCCATGTTCCTCTCTTCAGTTGAACCAGGAGCAGCTTTGAAGTCCTGATTAAAATGTCTGTAGCCTTAAGCCACGCAGAGAAGAGTCAGCAGAAAAGGGAAGTGTTTTTCTGTAAAGAGGATACCACCAGGCTTAAGCTGAACTAGCCTTGTTTGCAAGTGAAGGATCTGGTGCTGCTTTCAGATTTTAACTCTTCGTTTTGTTTTTGGTTTGTTACGTTTGTTCTTTTTTGTAAGCTTTAATCACTGTTTGTCATTGTCTAAACCCAGCTGGTGTCTCTTGTTCATCAACTTCGGTACGATGGTGCTTTGCAAGGATATATTTATATTATAATGGCCAACATTTGGCCAGCTCTATTCACTCATTCACTAACTTTTTTTTTTCTTTTTTTTTTTTTTTGTAAAATAAAGTGCTTTACTTGTATGGTGTATATAAACCTTGTACAAAAATCCTTTCCAATTATTACTATAAACTGAGTTGTAACAAATGAAATGTTGATTTTTATAATAAAACTAAGAGTGAAAAAGAGGCATGTTTCATTTTATTTCAGCATCTGGAGGACAGGTAATTAAAGGTACAATGTACGCCTTTGTTCTCCCTAAAAGTCAGAATGGGCTGAGTTTTCTAATGTTGTAGAAGACTTTGCAGACACATGGATTCGCAATGCAACTGACAGTATTTTAAAGCTTAAAGTCTCAATTATCGATCCCTTAGATTGGTTTACAGGATAATACCAACCAGATTATTTACCAAATGTATGTTTATCAGGTGCCAGTGACTGTACTAGACACTGCTGATTCTTGAAATCTCTATTGAAATGTTCGCCAAAAGAGAAGCATTTAACTTCAAAATGTAAAAGAAACTCCCCCAACCTCTCTCATCCTGTTGCTATAACAAGTAATTGGAGAGGAACCAGTTCTGAATTTATAAGCTCAGCACAGGAATTCCCATTCCACTTACATCCACTAGTCTTGGGAAAAAAAATATGTGGCTTTGTATTAGTTGTGTATGTGGCTCTACTGAGACTTGTAGCCCAAATTTTTCTGTATGGAGGCATGGACAAGCCACATATCACTTTTTGGGTCTGCATTTGTCGATCTCACAGGCTTCTAAAAATACCTCCCTTTTACTCTAAACCAGGGTGTGATGTGCTTACTTTGTTTCAAGGTGTTACATTTATTTTGCCTTGGAAAACAAGTCATTGATTTGGAGCTGCAGGGTACTGTGTTTTTCTCTGAAAATGCCAGTTGGGAATTGCTGCAGGGCTGCAAAAGGTTCAGCAGCCCTTTTTTTTTTTTATTTAAACTATGGTGGCTACATTTAGTGTCTGTGCAGTTGTAATATGTAATATGTTAGAAGCATTTGTGTAATTTTGTATTCCCTAAATCTTGGGACTTTTCCAGATGCAGCTGTTAAGCACAGAGTGCATTTGTTCCTTAAAGTGGGTATGGACAGACATATAAAGAGCAGGATCAGCCCTCTCCATAAGCAACTTGAGTTAAACCTTGGGGAGAAAAACCAAAGCTCTTTAGAGGAAGAGTGTAGCTCAGGAAGCAGAACTTACTTGTTGTCAGTTATCTTACCCATGCCAGGCAAATCTCCAGTAAGGACAAAGCAGCTGAAATAGTGTTTAGTGTTTGCTAGGCAGCAACGGGCAGGAGGCATAGTAAGCAGCACTGGAGTACTTCTCATCATTTGAAAATTGAAAATTTATTCCCTGCCTATCCAAGGAAAGACCATTTGGAAATCTGAAAAGAATTTGAGATCGGGAGCTGCTGGCCCTTCCTCCTTGCACCGTCTGAAGTATAAGGAGATTGCTCAGTGGGGATGGTCTGAAGCTGGGGTTCTGTGCCTTGGTGTGGCACAGCAGTGACCTTATCCCAGTTCTGCTTCCACAGGAAGACGCCTTTGACAGGAGTACAAGGGAATGAGTGCCCTGCAGTAACCACCAAGCTGGCTTCTCTGAGGATGTGTGAAGAACATCCTTTGGGTCTAAGGAGACGGAGGGATTTCACCTGGTGTTTTCTACTTGTTAGTATTGCCAAGATCCTTAATCCTGTCTCCTTTCCAAAAAAACAATAACCTCACATTGCAGACCACTGGGCTGGAGATGGACAGCTGAAGGACCTTCCACCAAGCTCCCTCAGCACTGCCCTGAGAAATCTGTTTCAACCACTAATAATCCCTTCTGGTGGCTGAATAAAGGACTACAGGCTACTGCTGGCTCCTGTGGTGCTGGGAGCGTCCAGGGGACAAGCCCAGGACCTCCACCTGCAGCTCAGGTGCTCTGAGAGCTGCTCTGGTTTCCTTGGTGTTCATGCAGGTGAAGAGTAGTAGGGAAATGTTGCACGTTAGAGATGTGCAGAGAGGTTGTGGTGTTTGTGGTCTGGGCTCCTTATCTTCAAGGACGTGCATGGAGGAGATACAGAAAAGTAATGTGTAAAGTAAGATGAATAAAGGATGCAGGGCATAAGGTAGGAAGTATCCTGGGAGCCAGCAACAATAAAAAAAAGGATAATATTACAGTTGCCTCTTGGAAGTCACTCAGGAGCATAGCAGCTGTTCCTCAGAACATGCCTGGCTGGCATGACAGGGATCCCAGGGAGATAACCTGACAAGGGTCGAGAAAAGGAACATGTTGGGCAGTTCAGGGTGAAAAGCCAGAGGACTCTGGTAGAAAAGCAGGGAGTCCTGTGTTTTCTGCATCCTGTCTGCGGTAGGAATCATGGGGCCTGACTCTGGTGGGGCCAGGTAAGATCAATTCAGGAGGGACCAGAGATGATTTTAAAGGCCTCTCCTGCCTTCCCACCTACACCCCTGTCGCTAGAGGACATGAAATGATTCACACTACTACCTTCAGTGTTAGAACAAAACCTGTGACTTTATTACTTGATTCCAGTATTTATAGATTCTTGACAATGACCAGGGATTGGATAATTAAGTTACCACCTTCCCAAGCACACTGGTCCTGTGAAACTTCCATCAATACACATTTCTTAGAAGGAATGCATAAACATCTATGTTTACAGTTACTTTCCTGAGAAAGTAGCTACAACTATGAAAAACAAGATCAGAAGGCTTAATTTCAGGGCTACACACCCTCAGCACTCTAGCAGGGAGACAAACTGCTTTTTGCTCAGGGCTTCCTTGACTTGGCTCCCAAGGAAGCACCCAGGCCACTTTTACCTGGAAGAACAGCAGGATGGAAATCAGCACTATAGCTTGATGGGGCAGGAAAAGTGTCTGCATGGAGTGCTTCCAGAGGCTGTGAGGGGTTTACAGTGGGGACAATCCCTCTCAGGCACAGCCCTGACGGGTTTTCAGTAGTGAAAGGCTGTCATGCCAACAAGAGTGACCAGTTCTGGGTCTGCTGTCAAAGCTGCCAGTGCTTGGGGCCAGCCAGAGGAGAGCACACAAGCTGAAGAGGAGATGGCATCAGGAATTATCTGAGACACCTCAGCAAGCTCTTCCTTCTCCCGAAATTCCTGTGGGCCGCACCTGTGTACAGCTTTCCTACATTGCACCTCCACTGCCTCTCTAATGAACACCACACCTTGGCCTTTGAGGGCATTCCATTTGTTTTTGTGTCTCTTTCCTTAGCAGAGACCCATTGTCCTCACTGTGGAACCACACTCATGGGAATGCTGCTGACACGGTTCTGCCAGAGCCCAGGCTAGCTTGGAGACACACCAGCAGCTACACCAGGTGTCGGGAACTACCTTGGCTTCATCAGCGCCAAAGACAGAACCTTTGAGCCTTGTGCTCAACAGGCAGGCTTGTCAGCCACAGTCAAGGAGCAGGTGGAGGAGGAGGAGGCTCTCAGTGTGGGGTTTCGTCCGAAAAAAGCTTATCGCTGAAGGGGAGTCAGGAACCAAAAAGCGATGAGCACAGCTGTGCTTTGGAAATTAAACAGCAGTAACACAATGGGAGGGTACAAACAAACAGCCAATGGGGAATCCAGCGAAGGGAGGGGGTTACAATGCAGGGACCAACTGGGATGAGGGGGAGGACAGGACCAGTCATGCAGGCCAATGGGGCCTCGAGGGTTAGGGGATTGACAGGGAAGGATCCAGAACAGAGGGCAGGGTTTACAATGATGGACAAGGGGTAGGGGCAGGGGTGTGGTGACAGGCAGGGAAGGTTTGGGAATCAGGGGCTGGTTTTACAGTGAAGGGCAGTTCAGGGGAGGATACAACTCTTAGGGGCAAACCAACTTGTGAGGAACTGGGGGGAGCATAAGAATGAACCATATAACTGATAAACTGACAACCACAAATAAACAATCACTGTGACAGGCTGCTGACACAGTGATTCTGCTTCAGGTCCAGAGTGAGCAGCAGGGAAGTCCTACTGATGATCCAGATTTTAGGCAAGCATGTCCTGTGCTGAAAAGTCAAGGAAGAAATTACCAGAACATGACACCGACTGTGGACAGCAGGAGAATTTGGAAATCAATTTTTTATTTAAACAGTTCATGAGGCAATAGATGCTTTAAAAATGCAAATCCATTTGTGTATTTTTCCTAACTTGGTGGTTTTTTGGAATGATCTGTAGACAGTGATTCCTCCCTAAATGCCACTGTATTCTTTCCACCCTGCAAATGTTTTAAGAAACGTTTCAGTATTGAAACGTTTGTGTCTGCAGTATTGCTGTAAGATGGCATAATGTGGGCTGATGTTCTGAAGCACAACTGTGAGGGATTCATTATTTGATGGAAGAAAACCATCAAAATTTCAGATGCTTCCAATAAAAAACTGTTCTCCACCAGCAGCATTAATAAGGAAGGTTGATATACTTAAAAAAATTCACTTCTCTCTCTTACCTTCTAGTGTGATGGCCACAGGTCCACTCCATTCTGTGTTGCAACTTGAGTAGTGGAATAGGAAAGACTTACTCCCTCAAATTTTGAAAAAAGAAGGGAAGGGTTGCCAATTGTCTCCTTCACTGGCCTCCCTCTGCTCCCAAAAAGATCCAAAAGATGCTTAGAAGTAAAAAGTTAGAAGCATGGGCTTGTCATAAAGCTGGAATTGGAGGAACATATTTTGGCAGGTAAGGAAGAGTTGCAGGTCTCTCTTTCAGCACAGGGCACATGAGAACAGGTAGGAAAGGGAGAGATGGGACTTCTGTTGTTTAGGATACTTGGCTTCTTTGACCACATGGGTATTTTCTCTTCTTCTCATTTAATGTTTGTATTGTCCTTCAGCTTTGGATGGCTCCAAAATGAGGACCAAAAAGACAAGAGATGTAACCATCATGTCCCAGTTGTTGATTTCTTTGAATTAATTTTATGTTGGTAAAAAAACTTCAGTCTTTCCATAAATGTAAAAGACAGTGGGCAAAGCACCTGCAGAGCTGGAAGCGCTTGGCAATTCAGATCCGTCATTTACTGTGGGGTTTCTCCAACATCCTTTCCCAATGGAGCTGCCACTTGTCATTGTGCACAATTAACTGCAGTTGCTGACAGCAGGTACTTGGTGATTTCTTGGTGGATTTATTCTCCAGCATGTGCTGGAAGCCAGCTGTAAATC